TATTTTGGATAGAAACTCTAATGTGGGAAAGAGTCCATAAGTTGCTGTCAACATCAAGGAAGCAAGGTTGTCATCATGTCATGTCATTTTGACATTTAAAATTGATAATATGACAAATGTAAACAATAAAATAAAATTTTCATAATTCCATGCGGATGAAGCCGCACGGGAACAGCTAGTTTAAAATAAAAAAAAATGTAGAACAAAATATGACTAATAATGTCGGCCTAATTCCCTTTAAAAATGAAAATCTTATCCTCGCATTTTTGCCGCAAGCTTAGCCAAGATGTTTAAGAGAAAAGCATCTAAATGTAGAATTTAAGTAACATCAACATAATATATACAATTCACATGCGTACGTTGTTTCATTACAGAGAAATGGCTTTCGTTTACAATTGACTGCTGATTTGCATTTAAATAAAGTCGCTTTGTGAAAAAATATTGAAGCTTCTTTGCTTCCTATTATGTCTTTGTCCATTATTAAATTTAGTACACAATATATTACGATGAATATATTTTTTATTCTGGTTCTATGTCAGAAATATCTAAGTAAATAATTTTACAAGACTGTCTTTTATAGTGTGTCTACATACTCGTAATTTAGATTAGTTTGGCAATACATTTTAAATTTAGTAGGGATGTTTGTGTAAAATCAGTCAGGAATCTTATCGATTTTCGATTTTTATTCTTATAGAAGTTGGAATCGATAGATTTATAGTTATAACTTATGGAATAAAAAAAAACACTGTTTTCTCAAATTAATAATGACCATAACAATAATGAGAGTAAATAAATGTTTATTACTGGTACAGCAGTAGGTAATCGAGTTGGATTTCGCTATTATTTCTGTCATCGCTAAATTCTCTACACCATAATCAATACTAGAATTGTCCTATAAATTAGTTAATAAGAAAACAATAATTTTAGTCGAGTTCGATAATTATTTAAACCGAATATCGATAGTTCAAAATTGTTCGCTATGCGTGTTTGTTCGTCACTACGATACTTGTCTATTAAGTAAGGCATTTGCTTGTCATTTATCAAACTAATCTAAATTATTTAGACAAACTATAGTATGAAATTAAAATGAAAACATTAGCAAGACATTTTTGGGAATAAACATAAAATGTCATTCCTGTAAACATGTCAACGTCATGTGTAAATGAAAGGTGTCATTTAAAAGAGGGAGCACATCTTTGACTAAACTATCGCACAACAGTTGTGCGATTGTCGATTGTTTCGCAGCAAATTCAACTGAAAAAATCGAGTAGTGTGCGCACATGCATATAAATTACTAGCTATTGCCCACGACTTCGTCCGCGTGTAGTTTAAAAGTTCAAAACTTACGTTCGCCCCTATATTCGACCTAAATACCTAATCTAAAGTATTAACTTAGTAGTAATCTACATAATAACAGAGATCTACTGATGCAAGATTCCAAATTTCTAAGCTAAGCTAAGCTCTAAGCTATTGTTTGTGTTCGCGATATCATCTAAACTATTAGTCCAATTTAAATACTGTAAAAGACAATTTTATTCTACTTTAAATTCTCCTAATAACAAACGCATTTATTTGGTTAAGGATTAATATTGAAACCAATAAAAGAACGCCGCAAATAGCGTGCGGTTTTTAATTCAATTCGTAAACAAAATCTTTTTAAGATCTACATTTCTTTCATACGTCATTTTTATATACCTCTAAGGGTTTAGGCAGCGTAAGTCAAGAAAAGTTAAAGTTTAGTGAATTTTTAACGCCGGCGTCCAGAAACACGCTATTTATTAATAGTTCCTAAACATAAGTAATCATAAAGTAGCCTATGTTACTCACAGATAAATTACCTTTCTGATGGTGAAAGAATTTTTGAAATCGGCCCAGTAGTTTTTGAGTTATTTCAATACATACAAAAATACAAGGTTTTCCTCATTATAATATTAGTATAGATAGGCCAAGACTAAACAGTTGTGCGATAGTTTAGTCAAAGGAAACTATACAAATATGGCTACATCTGTAAGTATAATCGAAATAGTAACTTTAATATAAAATGGCAGCGGCATTCTCTCGTCTAATTCACAATGGCGAATAATGCAGACCCTGGAATACGCTATGAAAGTTTCTGAATAAATCTACATATTATGAGAACTTTGCTGTGGTCGACAGTATTGCCGTTTGTCAGCCCGTACATAAGTTGAATGGAATTTACTCTTTTTGTCATAGTTAAATAATTCAATAATTCATATTAAAAGCTGCACGTATGTCAATTGTTTAATTATAAAGAACTGGTGTTTTTAGAACTATTGAGTACTAGCTGTTGCTCGCGACTTCGTCTACGTGAAATTAGGAAATAATAATAATAATATAGGATATGTTACTCAGTGATAACGTAGCTTTTTAATGGTGCAAGAATTTTGACATCGGCCAAGTAGTTTTTGAGTTATTTCAATACATACAAAAACGCAAATCTTTCCTCTTTATAATATTAAGAATGGGTACAAATGTTTGAGTTGCATATGTCGGGTGACTCTATCAATGTGTTGTCACATAACATAGAAGTAAAGTAATGGTAGTTAGGTTCTTTCATTTGTTTTGTTTTACGTTATTTGAATAAATAAAAAGTATTCATTTTGAGCGTCTAAGAGCGTTCTAAGAGCGTCGGTGGCTCAGTGGTTTGAACACTTGACTTGTAATTTAGGTCTTGGGTTCGAATCCCGCCGTGTACCAATGTGATTTTCGATTTTTCGAATTTTCATATGTACATAATTTACCCGACGTGTGAAGGAAAACATCGTGATGCAACCTGCACATATCGGCGAAGAAATTCAAAAATATGTGTGAAGTCAACCAAACCGCACTTGGCCAGCGTGGTTGACTATGGCCTAGTCAGCCCTTATTAGGGTAGGCTCCGAGCCCCTCGGTGGGGACGTATAATGAGCTGGTGATGATGATGATGATTCATTTTGAGGTTGCATATTTTTGAAACAAGTTAATGATATAAAGGTATGTGTTATGGCAAGAGTCGTTCTTTAAATATTCAATAAAGCTATTCAAACAGTAAAGTTGGTGAACAAGAAAATTATAAAAAAATAAAGAGGTAACTTGTGTGTCGTTAGTATACCAGTACTTGTTTTTACGGTTATGTTTACATTGTAAATGTTTCTCTCGAGAGATGTCCATTCTAAATTTAACACTTTCAAACATTTTTAAAAATTGAATTTTGCGAATTCTTTTACCCTCAGAAGACGTCAAAATATTATCGTTTTATAAAAGAGATATAAAGTACATAGTTCTACAGGATAAACTATAACGATCCACGAACAAAAACATTTCCATATAAGGTTTTTTGGAAGTGTAAACTTAAAACTGGCAACAAGTCTAAAAGCCTGGCCTAGTTTCGTGGACAAGAAGTTCAGCACAAGAGGCTTTAAGAATGTTTCTAAAAAGGGTTAAGTTAGCTAGAAAGAAATTTACTTCATTTAAACAATGTAATAAATTAGTTTAAACTTTATAAAGAGGAGATTTCGTTAATAAAGAATACTTTATTATAGTTTTTTTAATTGAAATAGATATTCAAGACTTGTAACAGAAATAAATCTGTTGTGTGGTGTTTTAAATACAATTCATATTTTATTTAAAATAATATCATAATCTATACTATTGTAATAAAGCGTGAACACACACTTCGTCGCCTAAGATGTCAGCAATTACATCTTATATTTGAATAATTCATTTTTGAATAAAAAGCCCTACACTTAACCCCACGCTTTAGGCCTTTAAATTTTCACGCCATTAAACTTAGGAGGTAAATATTTTGGATAAAAACATCAAGGAATCAAATTTGTCGTTATGTCATGTCCTTTTGACATTTGTAATTGATAATTTGACAAATGTAAACAATAAAATAAGATTTTCATAATTCCATGCAGATGAAACCGCACGGGAACAGCTAGTGTTATAATAAAGGATAGATAACTACACAAACAACAGTATCAAAGCAAAGATTTTAACAGAACGAACGCTAAATCGATTAGGTTTGCAATTTGAATTTCTATTTGCATATTCTCCTGGTAATGTGTTGATTATTAAATATTAACGTAGTGGTCAAATAAACGTGTACTTTTGATAACTGCAATTGACTTGTGGATACTGAATTTGTTAATAAATAATTCATATCACATAAAACGATATAACTACTTATGAATTTTAATTTAGAGTTTTTCTTACTCTATCCTTGTATTTAAATTTATGCACACAATGCTGTAAGTGGAATAAAGTTGTGTTATCACAGCTTTTTGTTCTTAATTAACAATAAGTCAGAGTGAAGTAACAATTAAGAAGATTACTTCGGGCGAAATTGAATTCTATTCGTGGCACTTAAGAGCGGAAGTGGCTAATCGAATTAGCTTCAGATCAGGTGTGTCAGTGCAGGCATTTAACTACGATACTGCAGTCGTTACACTCGCAGTTAGGCTAATTGAAATTACGTGAGTTGAATACTTATTTTAAGTGAGAAAATGGTGATAAAGCATCTGCTGTTATGTATAACAGTAAAGTTGTAGTGTAGTGATGAAGTCAGTCTAAGATTAACGACGTAAAATACATAAAAGTAAACTTTGATGGTTTTAAATGGGACATTTAATAAAGTATGTACTGAACTATAACTGATAAATTAATTAACTAAAATTACCTTCCATTATTTACTCAGAGGTTCTAAGAATCGGAAGGTAACATTTCGATCTCTCCCTGCATCTCAACAATTTGCTACATTAAAGACTGGAATTTGTCTAACTTCAATTGAAGCTCATCGCTTTGAATATTGGTTATAGTGTTGAAATCAATCGTTCTAACATTATTGAAATATTTACTAAATATAGTAATTCTAGCTTTAATAATACCACGATTACGAATAAGAACCTATAAGTTTTCGGCCATTACTAAATCGAGATAAGGTGAACGCGCACGAGCGAATAACGTGATAAGTAAACAAAGCGTAAAAAAAGACAAACCGTGCAAACCGCTGTAGCTATGTACAACGGTCAAGTAGTAAACCGCGTCGTCAGCTGAATCCGGCGCCGACACCGCTGTGATGTCGTCACTCTGCGACAGCGACGCTCGGCTACAGCGACACTCTGATGTCCAGCAGCAGGTCGCGCAGCGGCACGAAGGGTCTGGCGTCTGGCGCAGCGGCAGCGGCTGGAATAGTCGGCATATACTATTACATTAACTGCCTTTTATTGTTTACGTTTTATTTTGGTAAACTACAGCAAAGTAGACAATATAAAAAGAAAACAACATTTTAATAGAACTAGGTCACCATTTTAAGTAAACCTTTTTACCCCCAGAAGGCGTCAAAATATAATCGTTTTATACAAGAGATGTAAAGTATATAGTTCTACAGGATAAACTATAACGATTCACGAACAAAAACATTACCATATATGGTTTTTTGGAAGCGTAAACTTAAAACTGGCAACAAGTCTAAAAGCCTGGCTTTTTGGAACTTGCTGCTGAATCCCCTTTTGGAGGAACTCCTCCAGGAACACATAGAGTGGGTACACACTGCCAAGCTTTTGCCGACGATGTGGTGCTGATGTTCTCTGGGGGAAAACCTCGGAAATACAGGACCGAGCCAATGTGGCCCTAGCCCTTGTTCAGAAGTGGGGAGTCAGGAACAAATTAAAATTCTCGCCTGCCAAGACCAAGGCAATAGTCCTCACAAAGAGGATCAAGTACGACTCTCCACGTCTGAACATGGATGGAAAGCCCATTGAGCTAGTTAGGACGGTTAAGATCCTGGGCTTGACAATTGACGATAGACTCACCTTTAAGACGTACATTACGAACGTCTGTAACAAAGCGCAAGGCCTCTATCGTCAACTGTCATGAGCAGCCAGAGTTTCTTGGGGGCTAAATCCAGAGATCATCAGGACTATATACGTGGCAGTTGTGGAACCCACGATCCTTTATGCGGCCAGCGTCTGGGCACCAGCGGCCAAGAGGAAGTGGACTTTGAGGTTAATGAACCGGGTGCAACGGGGCTTCGCGCAGAATATTGTGAGGGCGTATCGGACCGCGTCCCTGAACTCGGTCCTAGCACTTACTTGGTTGCTTCCTCTGGACCTTCGAATTCATGAAGCGGCCCTTCTTTACGAAGTAAAAAAGGGCCATACCCAGCAAGTGCTAGGAGATTTGGAGCTGGAAAGACCGATCCGGTACGCCCAGACTCTGCACCCCGCTCACCTGGAGGGGCAGCAGTTCGACTGTAAGGCGGACGGTGACGAAGGGACCCAGCGAGCTGTCGTCGATGTAAATATTTACACCGATGGCAGCAAAATTGAAGGTAAGGTCGGCGCGGCGTTATCCGTTTGGAATAGCGCCGCGGAGATTCTCTGCCGGAAATTAAAGTTGGGAAACTTCTGCACCGTATACCAGGCGGAACTGTTGGCCCTGCATGAGGCAACTCTGTACGTGGTTAGAAGCGCGAGGTTCAGGTCGTTTGGTACTCATTCCGATTCCAGATCCGCCCTCGAGACGGTTGCTAACGGAGAATCCCTCCATCCCCTGGCAGTGAAGGCAAGGGAGAATATTAGGAAAGGGAGTGAGCAAGGAAAGGAGATAGGACTATGTTAGGTGAAGGCGCATGCGGGGATGGAAGGGAATGAGAGGGCGGACGAACACGCGAAACAAGCTGCAATCGGAATGAAGACCAAACCTAACTACGAAAAGTGTCCCGTTTCATACTTCAAGCGACAAATCCGTTTGGAGTCGATTGAGGTATGAACCAGGCGCTAAAGGGAGGGGGAGACAGCCTCAACAACCAAAGTCTTCTTCCCGGATGCCGTAAGTGCGTACCCTGTCCTGCGAAAGATAGACTCGGATCCGATTTTAACGCAAATTTTTACGGGACATGGGGGTTTCTCCGCTTACCTAAACAGGTTCCGTTGTAAGGAGAGCCCCTCGTGTGTTTGCGATCCGAGTGATCAGGAATCCGTGCTGCATGTCATTGTAGAGTGCCCGTTGTTTGGTGCTATGAGGGGCGACACTGAAATAGAAATGAAAGAGAAGATTAGAGTAGAGACGATAAAGTGGCATGGGAACAGCTAGTAATATCTTAATCATAATGTTATGATAAAGGATAGATAACTACACAAACAACAGTATCAAAGCAAAGATTTTAACAGAACGAACGCTAAATCGATTAGATTTGCAATTTGAATTTCTATTTGCATATTCTCCTGGTAATGTGTTGATTATAACATTAACGTGGTTTTCAAATAAACGTGTACTTTTGATAACTGCAATGGACTTATGGACAATGAATTTGTTAATAAACAATTCATATCACATAAAATGTTGTACTTATGAATTTTCAATAACTACGATACTGCAGTCGTTACACTCGCAGTCAGGCTAATTGAAATTACATGAGTTGAATACTTATTTTAAGTGAGAAAATGGTGATAAAACATCTGCTGTTATGTACTACTGTTAAGTAAACTTGTAGTGTAGTGATGAAGTCAGTCTAAGATTAACGATGTACAATTAATAAAAGTATACTTTGATGCTTTTGAATAGGACATTTAATAAAGAATGTACAGAACTGTAACTGATACATTAATGAACTAATATTACCTTCCATTATTTACTCAGAAGTCCTATGAATCGGAAGATAACATTTCGATCTCTCCCCGATCTCTTTTCAACAATTTGCTACATTAAAGACTGGAATTTGTCTAACTTAAATTGAAGCTCATCGCTTTGAATATTGGTAATAGTGTTGAAATCAATCGCCCTAACATTAATAATTGAAATATTTAGTAAATATAGTAATTCTAGCTTTAATAATATCACGATTATGAATAAGAACCTGTAAGTTTTCGGCCATTACTAAATCTAGATAAGGTTAACGCGCACGAGGGATTTACGTGATAAGTAAACAAAGCGTAAAAAAAGACAAACCGTGCAAACCGCTGTAGCTATGTACAACGGTCAAGTAGTAAACCGCGTCGTCAGCTGAATCCGGCGCCGACACCGCTGTGATGTCGCCACTCTGCGACAGCGATGCTCGGCGACAGCGACGCTCGGCGACAGCGACGCTCGGCGACAGCGACACTCGGATGTCCCGCAGCAGGTCGCGCAGCGGCACGAAAGGTCTCGCGGCTGGCGCAGCGGCAGCGTCTGGAATAGTTGGCATATACTATTACATTAACTGCCTTTTATTGTTTACGTTTTATTTTGGTAAACTACAGCAAAGTAGACAATATAAAAAGAAAACAACATTTTAATAGAAGTAGGTCACCATTTTAAGTAAACCTTTTTACCCTCAAAAGGCGTCAAAATATTATCGCTTTATACAAGAGATATAAAGTACATAGTTCTACACGATAAACTATAACGATCCACGAACAAAAACATTTCCATGTAAGGTTTTTTGGAAGTGTAAACTTAAAACTGGCAACAAGTCTAAAAGCCTGGCCTAGTTCTGCGGACAAGAAGTTCACCACAAGAGGCTTTATGAATGTTTCTAAAAAGGTTAAGTTAGCTAGAAAGAAACTTACTTCATTTAAACAATGTAATAAATTAGTTTAAACTCTATAAAGATAGGAGATTTAGTTAATGAATAATACTTTATTATAGTTCTTTTACTTAAAATAGATATCCATGACTTGTAACAAAAATAAATTTGTTGTGTGGTGTTCTAAATACAATTTATATTTTATTTTAAATGTATACTAATATAATAAAGCGTAAACACACACTTCTTTGTCGCCTAAGACGTCAGCAATTACAACATATTTTTGAATAACTCTTTTTTTTAATAAAAAGCCCTATTTTTACGCTTACGCTTTAGAATATATATTTTCACGCCATTAAACTTAGGGGTAAATGTTTTGGATAAAAACCTTAATGCTCATCGCTTTGAATAGTGTTGAAATCAATCGGTCTAACATTATTGTAATATTTACTAAATATAGTAATTCTAGCTTTAATAATACCACGATTATGAATTAGTACCTGTAAGTTTTCGGCCATTACTAAATCTAGATAAGGTTAACGCGCACGAGCGAATAACGTGATAAGTAAACAAAGCGTAAAAAAAGCTAAACCTTGCAGACTGCTGTAGCTTTGTACAACGGTCAAATAGGAAACCGGGTCGTCAGCTACAGCGACAGCGACGCTCGGCGACAGCGACCCTCGGCGACAGCGACGCTCGGTGACAACGACGCTCGGCGACAGCGACGCTCGGCGACAGCAACGCTCGGATGTCCCGCAGGAGGTCGCGCGGCAACACGAAGGGTCTGGCGGCTGGCGCAGTGGCAGAGGCTGGAATAGTCGGCATATACTATTAAATTAACTGCCTTTTATTGTTTACGTTTAATTTTGGTAAACTAAAAGCAAAGTAGACAATTTAGAAAAAAGAAAATAGAATTTTAATAGAAGTGGGCAACATATATTAGTCCACCTTTCTGCGTATTAAGCGATCTTAAAGTTAATTATTACGTGAGATTATTATGGATTCTATTTGACATTCATATCATCTACAGCAGTGTATATCAAACTTATTTCTGAAAATTAATGATTTTTTAGCGCCCCCAATTTTTATACAATTGTAGTGGAATTTAAAATACTATATTGTAACAAGATAAATTAAGACTACTCGCGCCATCGTATGCCGAGTAGTAAAATCGTGCATGCGGCGCCTTAATGCATTGATGCAACTGAA